TGTTTTCCCAAATAAACTACCTAATGGAACCTTGGTTTCAAGTACTGTTTTCAGAGGATTCAGATTATTAGACATATATCTGTCTGATTGGCTGTCACAAGTGTTTTTTTCTCAGTTGTTTTAATTTGTAAGGATTATTTAAGCATGCAGACATTGCAAAATTTTGTAAGGTTATCTGTGGTCTCTTTTTTGGTGAAATTTTCAATGCTTTTATATTTTGTTCTGGTATATTTAAGATCATTCAAATATTCCTTTTGTTTTCTTACGTTTCCATTTTGAATTTAATTTTCTCAATGTTTCTGAAATTTGTTTTGTTGTTGTATCTGAAATAAATGTGGTGGATTAACTAGTGGTCAGCTTGGAACACCCACCTGAACTGAGTTAGTGTGGTGCTGGGTATGGAAGGCCCACCTGAGGATTGTTGCCAGTAGCATAAAAGGAAAAGTGGAGAGGAAGATGCTGTGCTGTTGATTCTTTTGAAGAAGCTTGTCATGCTGGTTTACCTGACATGAAGTAAGCTGTTCTCATCATCAGAGGAGCACAACCCTCACTGTTGCTAAGGATAGCTGCGGTTCTCTTTGGTGGAGCTCTGGCCCATACCTTGAGCATCATTTCCTGGCTCTAGGACAGATCCCTCAACCTGGTGACAGAGATCCTTCATCCCACTGACACAGACTTTCTAGTTTCCACCACTGACCTTTGGGCTTTCCCAGACTTGCATGAGACATTGTGGGCTCTAGGCCTCTAGCTGGACTCATGTAGGACATTACCATGTGCTCTAGTTCTTTAGGAGACTTATGTAGGACATCGCCATGGAATCCAGGCACTCAGCTGGATTCTTTGGATCTCTAGCATGTGGACAGATCTCTTGCACTCCTCTGCATTTGACTTTTTGGATGAATATTATAAAATAAATCTATAAATTATGTGTCCTGCATTAAATCTATTCCCTTGCAAACCCTGACTACAATAATAAGTATCTATTTTGAATACTATTTCCAAAGATTGATTTCATTAGTTTGAATGATCACTTGATTACATGCAATTTTATTATTAGTTAATTTTTATAGGATTCTAATATGTCTTCACATCTAGAGAAGAAAATTCCTCCTCATTAGAGACTTAATGTTTCAAAATCTTGTTGATATTCTTTTCTGCTTATATTTCTGAAAAAAATTTCTGAATGAGTTTTAGAAGAATTTCCTCAAATTGTTCACCAAGGTTCTGATTGACTTTTTATTAAAGTATCTTATTGATAGGTTTAATAAAAGACTCACTAATATTAGTATAACCTTCCACAAAAATTTTAAAGGAAATGACATTTATAAAATGCTTAGATTTCTTATCTGAGATCCTGTTTTATATCTCTTATGAAGCTTTGTGAGAAATTCCTTCACATAGGTTCTATTCATTTTCTATAAAAGGTATTCCCAGGTATTTCATATTTTTTATTGGTACTCTGAATTTTTGCTTTTTGATAAAACATAATAAAATAATTTTTTCCTTAACCATTCCTATTTTTACTGGAATAAATCAATAAATATCCATCAAATTTCTACTGCTACAGAATTAAGCTGCAGAGACAAGCCTCATAAGAAAATTACATAACTTTCACTGGTGTAGTGGTATCCAATTATTCCTACTGTTAGAACAAGATGTAGTATCTAGCTTTAAGAAATTCTTGGTGTATGCATATTCATTCATTCATTCATTCTCTCTCTCATAAACACTTTGAATATAAATATAATAGATCCCCACCCAAAGTAAAAAATAATTGATAATAAATGTTTTTGTTTATTTGTTTGAGACAAAGTCTCACTATGTAGTCCAGGTTGGCTTTGAACTCACTATGTACCCCAGGCTGGTCTTGAACTCACAGTGATTCTCTTGCTTGAGCCTCCCAATGCTGGGATCATTGGTGTGATCAACCACACCTAGGTTTAAAAAATATTTTCTGGAGGAAAAAAAACACATACAAACCTACCTAAGGCACTTAAGACCATCTCATAAACTTGGTTAACTGCACCATTATTAATTTGTCAATGTAGTCACCTTTTCTTAATGCAGGTCTTAATATCAATATGAAATATAACATTTGAAACTCACTGAAATCCACTGTGTAATTTGTAACACAAGCAGCAAGGGCGAATATTATTTTTAGTCAAAGCTGGAAAAGGCAAAGGTATATTATTTTTGATAGAGTTAACATTTCTGTAACCGGTACGAAAGAAGGAAAAATAGAAGCTCACTCTCAGGTAGGAAACAAGGTACCATTTTCATGAAATATCCATGTTTTCCAATTTGAGACTTAGAAAGGTCTCGTGAAGGTTAACACATCATAGCTGAACGTGCTTATTGGAAGGAAGTAGATGAAGGAGTAATTTGAAAAAATAGCATGAGACTTTTAGACAGGTTTTATACCTTGAAAAAATAATAACAAAGTATGATGGATTCTTGATACCCATCTCAGTGTTTGAAGCCTGCAGTGAACAGAATATAATTCATCTATCCCAAACCATTCTTGCTTCAGAATGACCCATTTCTTCTTATTGTGTTTCCAGTGAAACAGTAGTGAAGCAGCTCTGTTATTTTAATGGCCCATCTATGAGTTCCTTCCTCTGCCCTCAGTGTAACCAACAATGTTCTGTCTTCTTTTGGATTATCATGGCATATTTTATATGAACAGGTAAACTGACTATGGAAGGAGCAGTGCAAAACAAAACACTTCTTCATGTATTTTTGTGTTTAGATCAAAAGTGTTTTATAAGTTTAACAAGTTGCATATATAAAAATAGCAGAGTACCTTTAAACATTTAAAATACAACTGTTACACAACTGTTTTAAATATATCCAGTGGAATGCAAATAATATAATCTTTTGATACCTATCTTATCCATATGTAAGAAAAGAAACTCTTAACAGAACTTTGATCTTCTGCTTTTTCACTCTTGTGCCCCCCAAGGCATACTCCCACAAGAAGGTTTTTAAGGGACTTACACACCTTTTCTCTGTAAATTGGCAGAAAATACTAAATGGGCACAGGAAAAGATAACTGGCATGGTACCTAGCTAAAGGGCATGTTCTCTGGCAGCTTAATTTCAAAAAAACATATATAAGGAAATTGAAGATCTTGAAAAAAATTCCTTTTCCACCATCCATTCCATGTACCCAACTTCAAAGGCCACTGTGACAGATTATCTGTACCACTACTTCTTTTTACTAGGAAGAACAACCCGCTTCTTTTGAATCTACGCCATTCTCTCTTCCTTGGGCTCAGAGAGCATTATGTAATTTAATCTGTATGACAGCCATGTGATACAGGCTTTTTTATACTCATTTTAGAGATGAGAAAAGTGAGACAATGGTTAACTTCCCCACAGTCACAAAATAGTGAGCTGAGTAGCAAGTACTTAAGCCCAAGTCACCTACTTCAAAGTCCATTACTCACACTTGGTGCTTGTTTTTAGTTCACTCTTTTGTTTTTTTGCTTTTACATTTCTAACAAACCAAGTCCAATAACATCATGAAATAATACTGAAAAATGTTTTCCAGGATTCATTAGCATATTTATGTGACAGTAAACATGCTATTTCACATACACTGGAGTTTATAACACCACAGATGATGTGTGACCAGCCCCATCATTTTGATCTAAGGTAGGGCACACAGAACCTGATCAAGGCCGTAACACCAATGCTAATAGGTAGCAGAGCTGGGATTCCAACTGAGTACTGCTTGGTTCTAATGTGCTCGGAATTATTGCAAGAAATTGATCCCCAAAAGCAGATCATGGCAGGCCCACAAACTCATCTGTCTTAAAGGATGAACAAATGATGGAAATCATTTGTTGTAGGGTGATAGGAAGAACAGGGCCAGAGAGCAACCAAAAACAAGGGCTGATGGGGCAGCACTGCTTAGCCACTGCTCATGCAATGGGTGCCAACCAGGCTGGCTACGTCTCCACATGGTCTACAGAGTCCAGAAAATAGGGCTTTATGAGCAAATTCAGAATTGTCAAATGTAGGCAATTAGTGAAAAGGTACACATACAATTTTTACACACACATTCAGGGCCGGCTGAATGTGGGACTCTGACGTAGATGAGTGGGTGAGCTACTCCCAATATGGAGTTGGCTGAACTTCCACACAGCCAATTCCTCTTTAATTCACTTAAATACAAGGGTGGTATTGAGATTGTTGCTGACTTTGGAGACTCTTGGACTCTGTACCTCCAACCTAACAATATTTACAGAGAACAAAGGTTAAACACACACACTTCTAAAAAGCTCTAAAGCCCTTGTAAGGAGAAACTGAGACTTGAAAACAGTGCAAGAGCTGCTTCCTTTGTGGAGCCATAGCTCAGACTTCCCCTGATCTACAACTCTGCTCAGACCTCTGCCCTTCTGTGGTGCTCCCCTGCTGCTCATCAAGTTCACAGTATCCCCAAGGCTAGAACAACTCCTGACACAAGGCAGGCATTTAATATATATGGGGTTTTGCTGCTGAATAAGGGGATGTGCTTACACTTACTCTCCTGTCATTCCAACTTTTCCTATCTCAGTTGAAAATGTAGCCAGGACACTTTTGGTAACTACTCAGAGCTTTGGAAGCTACAGAAATAAAGATCTCTATTTAAATATTTATATCCATTAGATAGGAGCTATATTTGTGGGTGGAACTATTGTCACAGAAAAGCAAATTTATCATCCTAAAGTATTATGTGAATTTCTATGTAACTATACCATTCTTTGTCTACTGGCCTCACTGACAGGCTTACTTTTTCAAAAATAATGATACATACTTCTGGGTGAAAATGCAACCTACTATCAGAATGGAAAATTACACTCTAATTATACATTCAAATCTAGTGCTTTAATCCTTAATACATTAGAAATCCAACCCAGTATCTTCATCCCTGTGCTATTGCTATTATACCTAATAGGGCAAATATTCTAAACACATAAACCTGAAATGTAGTCTGATTTTCAAGCAATCAATTACTTATATTCGCTGCTGTAGGTGGTGAGCTCACTGTCATTGTGCATCCATTTGAATTCCAAAGGCCAGCTCCCTTCAGCAAGGCAGGTGAGGACAAGGCGATTCCCTTCCAGGTGAATCTGTGGCAGGCCTGGCTCCGTTTTAAAATAAGGTGCAACATCATCTGAGATATTAAAAAAAGAGAGAGAGGAACAAAACTAAATGACCTATGCATGAAAATAACAAGCAATGGATTCACAAATCAATTGTTTAAATAGATCTAATTTTAAAAAGTAGAAATTATGGCTATTTGGTCAATTAAGTAGCAAATACTCCCTGACCCACTGGAAACATGTAATAGCCCAAGTGATATTTCTAAAGCCCAAAAGCTCAAGGATACCACCATTTGAAAGCATCTGACATGTTCATACAAGTCTTTTTATTTATGATTAATATCACTTATCAAAGGGATATGCCAGGCAATATCTGCTCAAGCAAGCTGTTGGTTTTAACTGGGAAATCTATTTTCAAAGTTGCAATCAATGTTGTTCAAAGCAACAATCAAGACTACAAAACAGAAATTTCTTCATATAGCCTTAAATTTTTTTGTAAAGTGACAGGGATAAGCTACTTTAATATGTACAAAAATAACATGACTTACAACATAGCTTTCATTTCACACACACACAGTCTTTTTTATTGATGCTCAAAGGAATATAAAACAGAAAACCTACAGTATATTTATACAACACACAGTACAATACTATACAGCAATGAGAATAAACCAACTAGTCTACACACAATAACATGCATGAGTCTCACAAATACCAGCTAGAAGTTAAGTCATTACTTAAATCCAAATAGTCTGGCTTCAGAACCCCAAATTTCTACATATTATGATTCTCAATGTCACAGAATTCTCAATAGGGGAACTTTCTTCTCAAGAACTCATATCTACCTTCAAATTTTTTATAACTTATTTGTGGAGCTACTAATCTAGATTTTTAAATCACATTACTAAATCTTTAACAAATTAAACAATAAATAGTATAACAGTACTAAAATTGAGACTATGCTAAAAATGTAGTTCCACAGGAAACTGTTGCACCTATACTAATACCAAACACTGCATATAGAGTTTAAATATACAGTCAGCCATAACACATCCACAGTGTCCACCTCTGCAGAACAAACCAACCATGGATCATAAATCTTCAGAAAAAATGCCTGTGCTTGACTGACATGGTGGCACACACCTATAATCCCAGCACTGTGGGAGGCTAAGGCAGGAGGATTGCAAGCTAAAGCCCATCCGAGGCAATTTAGTGAGATCCTGTCTCAAAATAAAAGTAAAAAGGAACAGGGATATAGCTCAGTTCAAAGGCTCTGGGTTCAAGCCCCAGTACTGCCAAAAAAACCAAAAAAGTCTGTAATAAACATGTGCAGACATTTTTCCTTATAATTCCCTAAACAATACAGGATAACAACTATTTATACAGTATTTACATTGTATTCGGTACTATACCAAATCTAGATATGATTTAATATGACCAGGAGGATGTGAATAGTTTGAGAATTTATGGATTTGGATCTCTGCAGGGGGGTCCTGGACCAAACCCAGCAGATAGCAAGGGACAACTGCATAGAGTTTGTCTTTCGGTTTATCACTGTATTTTATTACAATTGGTATTATGTTTTTAAATTTTAGTAGCAATTATTAAGTTTTAGTAGCAATTGCTTACTAGGTTTCATTCATTTATTTATTCAACTAGAAAACGTTAAATTGTATTTGGGCAGTAAAAACTCATAGTAAAGCAACTGTATCGAGGCAATGAGATTGAATGCAGGGTCAGTAGGAGTCAAGACTCAGGCAACACTCACACCCAGTTATGGGAACAAACATGGTGAGTAACCTTGAGAAGCACAAAAGACTGAAATACAAGTCTTCCTGCAAGTGCACAGTGAGTGAATGAGGCAGGGTGGGCAGGGCTCAGGTTCTCCAGAGCAAGGACATACCATCCTGCACAAGTATTAACAATACGCACTTCACATTAAAAGTGTTCTAGTGTGAGTGACAGATGATATTATTGCCCTGTGAATACACCATAGTCAAAAGTAATGTCAATATTATGGTAGTGACTAGCTATTCCTACAGAAGAAAATTCTTTGTAGTTTAAGATCACTCTAGCTATAATGTGGAGAAGAAATTAAATGGGGACTGGAGTAGTTGGAGATCAGTTTGGAGGTCACTGCAGGGATGCAGAAAAAATGCTGACAGGTGGCACAGTGGTAGACTGGTAACACGGATTGCAGTAGAAGAGATGGTGAGGAAGCAGAAACTTTAAAACAATATTTCAGCGGTAAAAGAGATTCAGTGATGGATTGGCTACTGGGATAATGAGGAATGGAATGTCCAGAGGAACCTTAGGTCTCTAGTCTGCATGATTTTATGGTCAATAAAACACACATTGATTCTATGTGCTAGACCCTACAATCAGCACTGAGGATACAAAGAATAAGACACAGTTATGGTCCCTTAAAAGGTTATAGACTAAGTCTGACACAGGAACATAAACATTCAGGTGTTAGGTGCTATAATGAAATCTGGTATTCAAATGAGAAGGACCCACTAATCCGGATCCTACTATGAGAGTTCCATCTGCTTCTGTAGCATGTGACATATTCTAAGCTGCATTTCAAATGCATTCTTAGATTTTCATTGTCAATGGTGTATCCAATTTCCCTTTTCACCGTGTACTTCAGCTAAAATCATCTCCTCTTATGACCTAAGCAGTGTAATAAAGCTGAAATGCAATGAGTATAGCTTTGATACTTTGGGATTTACTGAGCTGCAGGTTTTATTAATGTCCTGCCATTTGGAGTCTCTTTAACAATAGAAAAAGAAATGCCACTTGATATGGTTCCAGAGTCCTATATGCGTAAGTCATAAAAATATATCTTTTTGAAAGGAAAAAGCTCCAAGATAGAACCCCAAGAGTTTGAATTTGCTTTTTCAATTGATAGCACAGTAAGTTAATATATTATATAATGGTTTTTAATTTAAATAATATAACAATTCCATTCTTCATATAATTCATAGTTAACTAAACATACTTCTGTGATGTACAAAATTATCATGCGAAGTGCGAAGTACTATAATCTGTAGGAAAAAACTTCACATAGAATAACTTCCTGCAGTTTGTAAGCAAATGTCACATGGTTTAAATGACTATAGAATCATGTTGAGCACCGATGCTGTTGTTTAGAATAGAAGAAAAGTGGACAAATCTTGTCAAAGTGCTAGAATTTCAAGTGCCTAAATTAAAATTATCACCTCAGATATTTTAACATAGATCAGTCACTGCAGAGAATAATAGTTATCGCTCTGAACTTGGCACTGTTTATCATTTAAAAACACCCCAAAGATTCAGAGATTTCTAAAGAGGGAATAAAGATAACAAAACATAAATACCTTGGAGAAAAAGAGAGAAAAAGAAAGATGGATTAGTATTCAAAGTGTGCACACAGCCCCTCAAAAGCATTTGATCTTTACACACTTTATATGGGACACAAAGAAGCCTGAAAAGATCTATAAGGGGAGAAAAGGGGATGAGTGAATTACCTCAAGATAGTTATCAAATTCTGACCTGGGGAAAAGCCAGTGGTCTACTTAATGCTCTAAGAGGTGTGTGTTTGTGTTTTAAATAACAAAAGATCTCCCTTTCCTCAAAGACAACATGCAGAAAGTATTAAATACTTCTGTATTCTCACAATGAAATTCTAAGACCCTAAAGTAAATTACCAAAGAAAACTGTGAAATTTCCATTTTCACATACTCTTAAGTAGAATATAAATCATTTATGAAAGAGAGAGTCTCATTTATCTGGATAATACAGATTTAAAGTCTATCCAAAAGAGAAGAACAGAATGTTCTTGCAAGCCATGATAATATTATTATGATGAAGTCACTTCCCTAAGTGGACTTTTAAGGTTCTCAGATATCATGTAAATGAATTTTTTTACCTGTCCAATGCAAAGATAATTTGCTTATCCAAAAAGGGTACCTGGGGGCTGGGGATTTAGCTCAGCGGCAAAGCGCCTGGCTGGCAAGCGCAAGGTCGTGAGTTCGGTTCCCGGTACCGGAGAAAAACCAAAAAAAAAAAAAAAAAAAAAAAAAAAAAAAAAAAAAAAAAAAGGGTACCTGATCCATGTGCAAGAGTTGAAGCATTTTCCATGTAGAGTAAAGGCAAGAGAACCTTAGGGTGAGCCTGTCCTGTGTCCAGCTTCGCTCACATGAGAAAGGGGAACTTCCTGTGGATTTTAATGCTCTGCTTCACAATAGAAAACTAAGACTACTGAAATCTTTTAACAGCACAAGGGATTGGAGCCAACTACTAGGTACCAAGAACATCAAACTTTAAGCTATTCTTGTGACTGCTGATGGCAGCTTCAACTAGAACAACTGCCATCTACTCAGTAACTTGCCTTTTTCTCCTCTATTTTAAAGCAATAATGAATAATGAAATTATAATGATCAACCTCCACTTAGCAGAGGAATCAACCATACCACAAACAAGGGGAGGTCTGAGCAGACAAATCCCACATGATCTGGTAAAGCGATGATGAAATTTATTAAGCCCTCATAATCAGCACTATCAATCAGGTGAAACTCCAGTGGGGAGGATCTGGAATCACAGCATGAATGGGCAATCAGCCGGAGCAGGACCTTTCATTACTGAACTCTACTTTTGCCACAGCTAAATTTCCCAGGGCGACTAATCTTTTGGTTTAAACCACTAATCTTCCTTTCAAAACTTCTTTTATATCAAATTCAAACATTTTCGTGCCCTAAGCTTACTAATTTACCACTTACAAAAAGTTTTATTTTTCAAATTCTGGTGAGAAACAAAAGTGCAGGCCACAACACATCATTTGTGAGCAACTATTCTGAAAAATATGGGTAGACGAACCCATTCTGGTAAATGTAATCATTCCAATTTCAGCTGCTGGCAGTTCATTATGTATACCTATTGAAGCCAGGAGTTTAATCTCACAGTATAATGTGCTTTCTTCATAATAGTAATATTAATCTTTTTAAAGAAAACAATTACACATTTCAAATGTATTTGAGGTAAAATTTAAATATACTGCTAGATATATTCTACTGTAGTTATATATGCGGAT